AACATGTTGCTGGAGATTTGAAGGGATTTGAAGTATAGAGAAAAAGAGAAACAGGTGGAGACTTGTAATGATAACTCCCAGGAAGAAGAACTCTTATATTTAGTCACAGAAAATTAATCTCATATCTGAAACAACGGTTCTCCAGAGATACTCCTCTTTGTAAGTCAAGTGGTTATTATAACATAAAAATACATGCAAATGGACACCCAAAACATTTTTAGTTGAGAATTTAACAAGCTCAAAACAATGTTTATTGCAAGAATTCTGGATGGAATATGAAGAAACCTGTAAAGTGGGATAATTTCTTCCTCAATATCATGAGTCCAGAGAGAGTACTCCATTTGTAAAGCAGTTATAGGACGAACTGCATGTGCCCTCCTTATTGTGTCTGAATTAGCTTCGGAGAGCCCAATGTATCTAATTTTACCTTCTTCAACCAATTTTTTAAGTTCCCCCATCTGCCCTTAATAAGAAAATCAAGTTCCCGTTGGCAGAAAAATTTTCATCATTTCAATAAAACTATATTACCGAAAGAAATACAACTAATTAATATGATGGCAAATATGAAAGAAAAAAAGAACAGGCAAAGCTCAAGACTTCAATGTTTACTGAAGAAACCTAAAAAAGAAAGAAAGAGAAAGAACTAAAACACTTACAGTCTCCTCAATCGGTACTGTTGTGTCAATTCGGTGGACATAGAAGAGATCAATGTATTCCAGCCGAAGGCGCCTTAGGCTAGTCTCACAACAGGAGCGGGCATATTCGGGAGTCCCTTTCACTACAACAAGAGTGGGGTCAAATTTGAAAACACCAAACTTTGTCGCTAACTGAATCTTTTCTCGAGGCAACTGCTTTAATGCCTGCAAAATGTGGTTTCTACTAAGATAGCAATCCATTTGGCAAACAAAAAGCTTATCTTTCTTTTTAAAATAACAATCAAATGATCATATCTGAAAAGGCAGACCAAGGTACAAATTAAGGAAAGATTAATGCATATCATCCTTAAAATACTATTATCTAAGTAGTTGGGATAAAGTTTTGTTGAGTTCGATTGAATATGCGAAGATTACTACACAGATGAAAAACAGAAACACCGTGTTTAGGTCCAGATCACATTCTTACATGCAACTGCACTTACTTCCCCGTTTTAAACTTAGATTTCATTTGTTCTCCACAGATCTCAATTTTTTATGCTGGTCCCAATGATGTAATGGACAGCACAACTGTCATGATTATTGAGATTTTCTCACCAAGCAACATCCTATTGTGATTTATGGAGAATATGTCCAAAGCAAGCTTCTAGTTGTTGACCACAAGCTATCTCTTAGGGATTTCCCCAGGAAGACAAAATTTATATAGACATCTCATGATAATGGCATTATGAAAAAATTCTAGCAGTGAGGTTTGTTTAGTGTAGAATATGTGGCAAAAGCTTGGGAAGAACGAGACATTTACCCAATCCAGAGAAACTACTTTAATTTCTCTGATCCCCAAGACCCCCCACCCACCAGGGGAAAAAAAAACCAAACAAGTATATTTGTGTACTTCATTTTCTTTTGTGGTCCCTCAGATGAAATAAATAAAGGCAAGGTGCCACTTAATGGAAAACATAACCTGCTGTGAAACCGTAAAAAGTCAAGGTACCACATGTTCACAGCATGAAAACATCCGTGTTGCAAAAGGCTTCATTTGAGTATATGAAACCTAATGGCAAGTGCATAAAAGAGAAAATATCTTATTTTTTTGTGGAGTTTGGTTACAGAGAAATAAAAAATTTCTCTGTAACACTTTGTCTATATATATTGAAGACCTCTCCTCTGTATCTTTGTCTCCCACTTTACAAGATGCCTATGTCTATGTTTAGCACGAGGAGAGCCGGAGGATTTCTATGATTTATGTTCCTACTCAGGAACAACCTGTATTAGTTGTTATTTCTCAGCGTGACTTGAGTTTAGCCTTGCCTAAGTTTGTTGAGACAAGTGACTCTAGTGCAAAGGATACTTTAAAATATGACTATTGTGGTAAGACTATACATACTCGGGAACTTTGTTGGAAACTGACTAGACGTCCTACGTGTGGCGGATGTGGTAATGTGCGATCTCATGGATACACGATGGAATCCTCAAAGTCTCTATCTTAGTCTACTCCCTCTAATTTTTCTCAAGATAAGATGCAAACTTTTAAGCGTCTAATGACTCAACTTAATGTTCCCTCTATTACTGTTGTTGCCTCCTCTTCTTCTAATTTTGCTCATACAGGTATATCTACTAGTGTGTTTAGTGCATCATATTAGAGATAAAGACAAATCAGGTGAAGTGATAAGGCAAGACAAGGACTCTACAGGGGCTGAAGTGATCAAGCAAGACAAAGACTCTACAGAGATTATCAACTCTGCTGAAGTGATCAGGCAATCTCCTCTCATTTGTTCAAACGATCAGCAGTTCAAGGATCATATCACTTGATCCAGTTAGTTGGAGAGATAAGTCAAAGGGATGGGATTTTATATTTAAACTTGTGGATAGAGAATTATTTGTTTGTAACACTTTGTCTATATATATTGAAGACCTCTCCTCTGTATCTTTAAGTTGATAAACAGAGGTTCTACATTTTTTTTGTGTTGTTCAGTATCTTTATGGTATCAGAGCCTATAAAGAACCTCCAAAAACAATGGCCTCTTCTCTCTCTCTTGAAAATATCCCTCAGCTCTTAGCCATGATCAACGTCAAACTCACAGCAAGAAACTGTCTCATTTGGAGAAGCCAAATTCTTGACCTTGTCATTGGAGCTGAGCTTCATGATCACTTAAACAGTGATGTGCAACACCCAAAGCCGGTGATAACAAATGAAGAAGGAAAGGAAGCTTGCAACCTATAATACAAAGCATGGAGACAAACTGATCGATTGTTGAAGAGCTTAATCTCTGGAACAGTATCCGAAAATATACTCGGTCATACAATTGGTATGAATTCAGCACTTGAGGTATGGTCTTTTTTAGAACAGAGCTTTGCTTCCACCTCTGAAGAAAAGGAATTCAATTTATATCGTGATCTTCAACAGATTCGTAAGGAAAATAACGAATCCGTAACAGATTTTTTGTCTCGATTTAAACAAATTTGTGATGAACTTTCTGCTATCAAAAATATTCTGACTGATTCTGATAAAGTGATGTGGGCAATGAACGGACTCGGGCTAAAATTTGATCCACTTGTCAACGCCATTATGGCAAAATCTCCTTTCCCATCCTACTCACAATTCGTTCAGTCATTGACAGGGTATGAAACCAGGAACAAATTGTATCCAAACAATGATAAACTCAATGATTTCAAGCCCTAGTGATGCAGAAACATCAAAGTGGACATGGAGGTTCTCACAGTTCACAAAAGTATAAGGGAAAAAATGTCCCTTTTAATTTTAAGGGTCGTGGATTCACACAAGCACAAGATCGGACTCAAGGAGTCAAGAACTTCAGCCCTTCCACTCTGGATGCCAAAATCAATCCCATTCACGGATCCTTGCAAGCAAACGGTTGCCAGATTTGTAGCAAGACCAATCATTCCACTCCAAATTGCTATCGGATTCCATGCCAAATTTGTAGCAAACAAGGACATAATGCCTTGAATTGATACAATAGATATAATCATGCTTTTCAATCTGATGAAATTCCACAAGCTCTTGCTGCTATGCAAGTTACTAATCCCAGCGATCCTGAGTGGATACCAGACACAGGAGCAACATCGCATATGACTGGTAATGCAGGTATATTACAAAATCTTGAACCATATAATGGTCATGATTTAATAACCGTAGGAAATGGAGAAAGTCTACCTATTATTCACATTGGTTCTTCTTCTATAACTACAAATCTTGGGAAGTTAAGAATTAATGATGTGTTATTGGTTCCAAATCTCACCCAAAATCTGTTAATCTGTTGGTCAATTTAATAATGAATGTCCTTGTATCTTTGCCTTCTCTTCAAATGGTTTTGTCATCAAGAACAAATTGACGGGGAGGACAGTGGCAATCGGAACTAGAATAGGAGGATTGTATGCTTTGGGAAGCAATAAGAAGGCATTCTTCTCAGTTCGACAAAAGAAAACTTCTTAAGGGATTTGGCATCAACATCTTGGTCATCCACATCAAAGAATTTTATCTCATCTTTCTAGAAATAATAAGATTGATGTTACTTATTGGAATAAGCCACTTTATATTTGTGAAAGTTGTCAACTTGGAAAAGTTGCAAACTACCCTTTGTCAATAGTAGTTTGAGATCTTCTTCTCCTTTTGATAAAATTCATTGTGACTTATGGGGTCCAGCTCCTGAAAACTCAATGCAGAATTTCAAGTATTATGCTCTTTTTGTGGATGATTATACGCGGTTTGTATGACTTTATCCTCTCAAATATATGACTTTTTTGACTGTTTCAAGCAATTTCTTGCAATGGTCAACACACAATTTGAGAAGCAAACTAAAATATTTCAATGTGATGGTGGAGGTGAATTCCAAGATCGCGATTTTTTGCTCTATCTGTCAACTCATGGGATCATTCATCAACTTTCTTGTCCCAAAATACCTGAGCAAAATGGTGTTGCCGAAAAAAAGGATCGCAATATTCGTGAATTAGGCATGACTATGCTTTTTCACTCAGGTTTGAGCAAACGCCTATGGGTAGAGGCTTTCACTACTGCAGTCTTTCTTATCAACAGATTGCCATCAACCACTCTCAACATGGACACACCATTTCGGCTTCTTTTTCTTAAAGATCCCGATTATTCTTCATTGCGATCTTTTGGTTGTAGGTGTTATCCATATCTCACGGAATATGGAAAGAACAAATTCTCAAAGAAAACTCTTCCCAGCATTTTTATTGGTTATAGCACAATTCACAAGGGGTATCATTGCCTACATTCTCCTAGTGGTAGAATTTATATTTCTAGGCATGTGGTTTTTAATGAATCAACTTTCCCTCTTCTGCCCATTCTTGATAAACCCACTTCCACAGTGCCTCTTTCCACTGAGTTTAGTCATTTTCGAGATTGGGCTAGTGAAGCTTCTCCTCCACCTGCCTTGCCTTTGCCTGCTGCATTGCATTCTGTTCCACCGCCAATATTCAGAGGGAGTACATTGCTAGATTGTTCAGCAACTAAGGTGATTCCAACTTCCTCTCAGCTTCCTACACAAGATACCACAGATGTTGTTGTTCTACCTACTTCCGCTGCTTTGCCCATATCTGCACCATCATCTGACGTATCTCTGCAAGTCTTTCACCCCACAGCAGTCACAAATGATTCGGAGTTATCTTACTGCTGCACAAATATCTCTTCCCCTTGGTCAATTGTCCGATGATTTGGGTCCTTCTTCTACACCTACAGCTTTCCAAGTTAATACCCATTCCATGTGCACAAGAGGAAAGGCAAAACTTGGTCTTCTTCATGTTGCCTCATCTCCTAAATCCGATGCCTTGCCCAGCGAGTCTAAATCAGTCAAGACTGCTTTGGCCCATCCTCAGTGGTTTGCTGCTATGAAAGACCAGCTTCAGGCTCTTGACAGTAATAGGACTTGGACACTTGTTCCTCGTCATGCACACATGAATGTCATTGGCTGTAAATGGGTATTCAAAACCAAACAACATGCCGATGGGACTCTTGATCGACTCAAAGCTCGTTTGGTGGCAAAGGGATTTCACCAAAATTCTCACATTGATTTTGCTGATACATACAGTCCAGTTGTTCGTCCTCAAACGATTCGTATTGTGCTCACGATAAGTCTTTCTCGTAGTTGGAAAATTTCCTCAATTGGATATCAAGAATGCATTTTTACAATGCTATCTGAAGGATGCTGTTTATATGGATCAACCCCCTGGCTTTTTTAATTCTAACTTCCTTAACCATGTGTGTAAACTATCTCGAGCTATTTATAGTCTCAAACAAGCACCGCAAGCTTGGTTCGACAGATTTAGTCAATACCTTTTATCATTGGGTTTTGTTTGTTCTCGACCCAATCCTTCTCTATTTTATCTCCATAGTTCTCACAGTAGCCTTATATTATTTCTCTACGTGGATGATATCATCGTCACTGGTGATAACAATCAACTGCTTGATAACTTTATTCATTGTATTCATCAGACTTTTGCTATCAAGGATTTGGGTTCTCTCCACTACTCTTGCAATATGATTTAAAATTTCAATACTTGCAACACAAAAGGCATGGATTTCTACTGGGCCCGGTAATCGTGTCGAGTGAAACGGGTTTGTGTCAAAAAACCCTCAATCCATACCCCATTCATTTATATAAATGAGTCTAACTATTACATCCATACACGAATCATTTATTAGACGAGTTACCCAATATAACTCGTGTGTCACCCGCTAAATAGGATAATAGGTTAGAGTATTTTGAATACACACGAAAAATCATCAATTTACTACACATTACACATGTTAGACTTATTTACTATAACAATAAATCAAGGCCGAGCAAAAAAATAAAGACAAAAAATAAAAATTAAATGACTACTAAATTTGAATGAGTTTAAGAGATGAGGCAGATGTTCAGAGACCTAACTTTTTTTTAAAAAAAAATATAGCACAACTATTAATGGGTTAAACGGGTTGAAACGAGTTTATGAGTTAAACATGAAACCGATTCATTTATTTTACGGGTCTATCGAGTTAACCCGTTAACCACCCGAACTCGTTAAGACAACACCAAAACCCACTAAATCCGTGTCGGTTTTACGAGTCGTGTCTAGAATTGTCAAGTCTAATTTCTACATTTAACTACCAAAATAAATACCCAAAATATAAAGCACAAATTCATAAAGTAAAGGCATTCCTACTTCAGATCAAATATCAAAAATTTGAGTAATATACCCCATCCCGCAATATAGGGCTACATGACGACATTGTTCAAATACCCAAAATAAGCACACATAAGCATCACCATGGCTTTAAATGCTATTCTAGAGTATGCACTCACACATTCATTTTCAAACTCATGTGTGTGTGTGTGGAATGAACATGTAATTTAAGCATTTACCAAATGGAGTTCACATTCAATCGGCTATCCAAATTCAGCTTCGATGCAAAACTCACCAAGGGTTTCTCTCAACAATGAATCACACTATGATTATCCTGGCATGCTCTCTGTGTGCATATGTGAGATAGAATCTTGTGCACAAAACAAATTATGCGCACATATAATCCAAAAATGAGGTACATGCATAAAAATGAAACAACCTTGGCATAATCTCATGAAAGGAATGTTAGGACACTAGATAGCAAAATCAACTTCTCTTTTCTTTCAAGGTATGGTTTCCCCATACTTTCTCTAGATCATTTAGGACTTTTAAGGGTTATAATGAGGCCTTGGGGTGATATTTAGGCAAGTGAAACGAAGGATAAAAGATAACAAAGAGGGTTGTTCTGAGTAAATGACCTTTATTTCAAAAAGATCTCCCTTTTTATGAGATTTTTAGTCTAACACCATTACTTTACTCTTTGTTTCTTTTTCTTTCTTTTCCTTAACATTTTTCATTTTCTTTTCTCCTTTTTTTTCTTTCACCCCTTTTTCCTCCTTTTCTAGGATAATTCTTTCTTTTCCATTCAAACTTTTGAATTTGGCATCGTTCATCCCTTTTTGCTGGGTTTCCGTACCACTACTTCTTCTACTTATGATCTCTCATGGTATATCTGAGAACAACCAAGATGTGGTAAATTTTTATCATTTTGCACTCGCTTGGTCAATTGTGTGGCATGAAAACAAATTTTCAACAAGGCTCAATCACGGCACTAGAGATAATATTTTCACAAGAAAAAGGCTAAGGCTCAAATAAATCAAAGATGACCTACGATCATTTCTAGATAAGCATAGGAGAGCATATTGCATATCGAGGCAAAATCAATCAATTACCCAATTGCACTCTTACCAAAACAAGCAAAATGAGATTATTGAACAGATTTGAAATTTAAAAAATTATTCCTTGAATAAACGTAAGTTCCCTCCAACAAGAATTGACACTAAAGCTCTCATGGGTCTTTACTTATCTCCACTATTCATGTCAAATACTAAAAATGTGAATTCAATCCATAAATTTTTAAAATTATACATTCATGGTGCACTTATAGTTGAGTTCAAAAGCAAACAAGTATGTGATACTCATTGCATAGGATAAACTTCTATAATGTGCTCATGTATTCACAATTCTAAGCAAAATCACCATATCAATAAACCCACAACACTCTAAATAGGGGAATATAGGTCAACATTCAGATATTTTTCACAAAATTTTTTAAATTTTTTACATATTTATCAACTATTGTAAACAAAAATCTGTAGAAATGTAAATGGTGAATTTCACCACAAAATGGTATTACCAACAAAAATTTTTCACAAAAAATTAGTGTATCATACAAATTGTGCACCTCACCCTCTAACTTGATTCATGCGTTGTCCTCAATACAACAAAAAAGATATGCTATGTAATAAAGGACTTAAAAAGATAAGTAGGGATAAAGAACACTTCGCATGGAGCTTTGAAAAAACATTGTAATATGCACAATTAAAGAAAGAAAACTAACCAAAGATGAAAGTAAGTAAACAAAATAATTTGGAAAGTAAATGATAAAAGAAAGCGACTGTACACTAAAATCTACATGAACAGTTATTCCTCCAAAAGGTCTGGGTAAATCGGATCCAACAACTCTTCCTCCACCTTTTGACCCTCAAAACCCTGGAAGAATGGCTTAAATTTTTGGCCACTGATCTTGAATATTTTTTCCATCCTCGGGATTTGTGATTTTCATGGCTCCATTGCGTAGACTACCTTAACAAGATAGCAGTCATCCCAATGGGAACAGAGTTTTCCTTGGAATATGGATAGTCGAGAATTATACATGATCACTTTTTGTCCGAGCTCAAATATTTTTCTTAAAATGAATTTATTATGAAAAATCTTAGCTCTTTCTTTAGAAATTTTGTAGCTCTTGTATACATCCCCGGGGCATTACACAACCCGAATGACATTTGGCGATAGGCGAAGGTGCCAAAGGGACACGATAATGTAGTTTTCTCTTGGTCTTTCAAAGCGATCTCAATTTGATTGTAGCCAGATTAGCCATCCAAGAAACAATAAAAAAAGTGTCTGACTGCTCCCCCCAATACTTGGTCAAGAAATGGCAAAGAGAAGTGATCCTTTCTTTTGCAAAAGTTGAGTTTTCGATAGTCAATACAAACTCTCCATCTGGTGACTACTCTTGTGGGAATCAACTCGTTCTCCTCATTTGCAACAACGGTGACCCTCGATTTCTTTGGCACCACTTGAGTGAGACTAACCCATTTACTGTCTGCTATTGGAAAGATGATGCTCACATCAAGTAGTTTGAGTACCTAATCCCTTACCGCATTCTTCATGATAGGATTTATCCTTCTCTGTGGTTGTTGGGACGGCTTGGAATCTTCTTCTAGGTAGATGCGGTGTGTGCAAATGAGGGGGCTTATCCCCTTGATATCGGCAATCGTCCAACCAATTGCTCCTTTGTGCCTCCTTAACACTTTCAATAGATCATCTTCTTGTTTCGGCTCCAATGAAAAACTTATGACTATCGGGAAGGTTTTGTGCTCCTCGAGAAAAACATACTTGAAAGTAGCAAACTTGAGAGTAGAAGGTAGTGGCTTCAACTCCAAGTTGGGTGTTTGTACAGTGGATGGAAAAATTCTCTTCTCTTGTTGTGGAAGCTTCTCAAATGTTGGGGTCCATTTTTCTACCACGTGTAAACTTTTTGGCTCCTCTTGATCAACAATCTCCTCCTCCCCCAACTTCAAAGTGCTCAATAGCTCTAAGTGATCCTCCAACAAAGTGTCAATCCGGTTGATCTCATGTACTTCTTCGTCATCACCCGGTTGCTTGCACAAGTTGAACACGTTGATGTCCATTGTCATATTCCCGAATGCAAGCTTCATAAGTCCATTCTTGCAATTAATCACGGCATTAGAAGTAGCAAGGAATGGCCTACCTAGTATGACAGGAATTTGTGAGCTAGGGTTACCAACCAAATGAGTATAAAGTACAATAAAATCAACACGAAAATAGAAATTATCAACTTGAATTAAGACATCCGCAACTATTCCTCTCGGAGTTCTAATGCTTCGATCCACCGATTGAAGAGTGATTGGAGTTGGCTTCAACTCTTCAAGTTGGAGTTATGGGTACACTGAATAGGGTAGGAGATTGACAGTTGCCCCTAAGT